GATCAGTTAGAATCAGATGCAGTGCTGAACTACAGAGGAAGTTTGGAGAAATCAAGAATTTCAGCTTCATTGCCTTTGTCAACCAAACTTGCAAACATGGCAGAGTTTATATTAAATCTTCTTAAGTCTTTTTCCATAAAAGTATATTGCCTGGTATTGATTGTGAACCTTTCTTTCATATCTTTACAATTGCTTTTATTGCTTTATTCTTATAATTTGCCTCAAAGGAGTGGCAAGCTACATTACCTATAATGATGTTTACCCTTTTGCAAATACTAACACAGTCCTTTTTTTTTTTTTTTTTTTTACCTATTCTCCAGATTTTACTCACTGTATCAAGAATGCCATATATTTCTTTTTTTATATGCAGTAACATCATGAGGCCACAAAATTGCTTTACAATTTCTAGGCATTCTTCTGACAGTGTAAATTATCGTGCAGAAAAGATATACTTCCAGTAGAAAAGTTGTTTTAGGCAGTGAAAATAAGCTTTTCCAACACTTGTCACTTCGAAGTCACTGATGATCAATGTTTATTTTATAAATCCCTTTGTTTATTTGACCTCTTATTTAGAGTAGTATAAATAGGAAATAGTGGAATGTACGTGCATTATTGTGTGGGGAGAAGAGCTTTCCCTGCAAGTTCAGTTATTCTGTGTAAATTCTGTTTTTTTGCTATGCATGAAGATCAGATATGAATGTTCAAACATTTAGAGAAAGTGCTGTATAGTATGTTTATAATGAAGCATATTTTTTTCCTGTCCCATTTTTCTGCCATGACAGATGACTTTCCTCTTCCTAAGTGTTCTAACTGTATGGTTTTACGATACATTTTCCTGGAACTGTAACCATCTGCTGAAATGGAAATTGCAATGAAAGTCCTGACAGTGTTTTGAGAAACCTTAAGGAGGGAACTTCTGAATAACCCCCACCTGCAAAAATACCCTACTTAGCTAGAAAACACCCTACATCAATCTCTGATGTCAGTGTTTTCATCAGCTTCGTGGGAATTTCCTTGTGACTCGAGAATTCAAAACACACTGTATCGCGTGTTTGGTTCTTCCAGGAATGGGTGTAGAACCCATTCCCAGTCTTTCAGACTTTCCAGAAAGCCGTAGCGTTACAAAAAGTAGTGCCAGGTGAGCTATATGTGAAGTGTACTGAAGTCGGCTTTATTTTCATCTTTAATTGTTTTCAGATAAAAGACTACTGAGGAGAAGAAGTGTTTGGGGCAGGAGTGAATCAGGAGTGGTAATTTAATGTAGGGAGTGATCCATAAGCCTAAAGATAGGCATGTGGTGCCATTTGAAACTCTAAGGTATCTAAAACATCTAATAGAACTGCCAGATGTGATATAATACCTATGGGAGACCCAGGCCCTTCTGGAACGGTTTTATGGACCTGAATTATTCTCCAGGTGTCTATTCCTTTTTGTTTCATATAACTGCTAAAAAACCTACCAGGTCAGGACAGTGAGCCTCTTTCTTACTGGAAGCTAAATAGGATTTCTGAGTTTGTAAGTAGTGGTCCTAGTCACCAGCTTACCATACAGCACTCCCCTGTACCCATGCTTCAAACCAAATACCTTCAGGCAGCATTTTACATTGCTTTCTCTTCAACCGGGACCTCGTGCACAACGTCTTTGCTTCACATAGCTCACCTTTCCATACCCATGCCAAGCAGCTGCTTTGTATGATACCCTCCTCAGACCTGGCATCCCCGTGTCAGTACGAATCCCTTCTGCCGTGCCACTTTCCTCCTACGCCCCACACTTCCACATCAGCAAAAGGAGGAAAAATCATGTACGGTAGGAAGGATCAGCAAACCTTGGTGGATCACGAACAAAGGTTGGAGACAAGGGCAGGAGGTTAGGCTGTTCAACAGGGGTAGGCAGTATGCTTCTTGTGGGTACAGGCTATACCCAAGGAAATGTAGGTAGTACATCTAGTCTGTTGCCCTAAAAGCCTTGGAATTTCCTTACTCTTGCCCAAGGTGGAAGAAAGGTATTGTCGTTAAGAGTGATGACTGAAACTCAGAAATCAGCATTTGCTTCCTGTCTTTGTCTCAGACCGATTGGGTTGGTTTTAGCTCACCGTATAAGTCACAAATATAAGTATATGCATGTAGATGTCTGCATGTAAACCTAACATCTAAGTTCCTGGAAGTAAACACCTACACTTTATTGGCTGAAGGGCTTTCCAGGCTCTTGACTAAACCATACTCCTACTGACTAGGTCTCCATCAATTATCGTGGGACCTTTGACACCTAACTCATGTGTAGGCAAGTAAGTTCGAAGGTCTTAATCTGCAGACTGAATCCCAAATGCTGTGTGATGCTGAGCAAGTCACTCAGAGCTGTATGCCAACTGACAGGTATGACAGGGTGTGTCTTTATTAACTGCCAAAGGTACTGGAGTTTAAGTTTGGAGAAAGGTTTATAAGCTGCTTATGGCTTTTTTGACTTTGAACATGATAATTATTGCAGCCTCTAGACTGAGCTCCTTCAGAAGGTGATTTGAAAATAGCCTCTTAATGAAGGGCTTCCTTGTGTAAAATGGGGAACCTAGGTGTTTTGGTCTCACTGGGCGGCTGCGCTCACTGTTGGCGAGAAGCTCAGATAGTACATTAATGGAGGCCATAAAAATGAAGGAGAGATGAGGGGCATGCCAATGCAAAGAGGTGTAACAAAGCAAGAACTCTAAAAGGTAGATCCTGTCTTTGCGTTTGCGATTGCTAGAGCTAGGATTTAGCACTTCTCTGCAATACACATGCGCATATTCGCTACGTTCACAATTGAATCTCGGCCTTTCTATGTAGTGAAGAGCCGTGAAAAATAAATGAGAATGAGTAGCTTTTCTACTGACTCACACTTCCTTGAAGATAAGAGTGTCATACTAAGAACCCTGCTCCTAATATAAAAGGATAAACAGTTGCAGGTTGCTTCATCTCCTTTTATATTGAAACTCTCTAGCTACACCAGTACTGCGAAATAAAAAAGATCTAGGGACAGTTTGCTGGTCCTGTGCTATTCTATTAACCCTGCTTCGGCATTGCTTGGAAGAGTACTGGTTGGCAGGGGTCAGGTCTGTGCCAAGGAATGTGGTAACAATAAACCATATGGATTACAGCAAGTCAGTGCTAGATACTGTGCCCTCCCCAGCCCCTGGTTAAGTTAGCTGTAACCTGCGATGTTGCGCTCCAAGTGTTAAGTGCTTTGTTTTTGTAATATTAGATCCAAATGGGTTGACCTAGGAGGAAACACATTATTCTCTAGGAAACAAGAGACAATAGTTTGCAGTCTCAGACAAAACAAAACTGTAGATTACGGTTGTGTCTAACTGTAGTTTAGTGATATCAGCACTTGGCTGAAGTACAGTGTATGGGCAAATTTAGTGTCTTTGAGACCAGGAGAGATGAAAATACTATCAAGTAACTAGCAAAAAGAAATCTCAGCTGAAATCTAATATGAGCAAAAAGCAAGAGGAGATCCGATTATATTTTAAAACATACTACAGCCAACTATATTAAAATATATGTCATAATATAAGGTACTGTTATATTCGGCAAGAACTCAGTGTTTCTTATGCTACTGTACAAACTTGCTCTCAGTCCTCTTATTTCGACTAACCTACTGAGCCTCTTATATAATTTTCTTAGTTTTCTTATATAATGTTCCTTAGTAACATGGATGAGTTTTTTTTAACATTCTGTCATATCTGAATTGTGGTCATTTGTATTTCATTGCATAAGTCCTCCGAAGTGTTTCTTTTCTTTATGGTATCAAAGACTGCCAGTGAGAAAGGTGCCAAAATGCTTTTAAATTGGGAAAGTCCTGAGTATGATATGTGTGAGTTCTGTTTTTGTTCATCTTTCACACACTGCAAAAGGAAATTAAGTTAATGGAAAGTATGTGGTATGACAACAATAGTTGCTAAAATAATATCACGTGTACAAAGAATGTTGCTGAGGAAATTATTCCATACTATTTTTGAAGAGACTGTCAATGCAATATCTTTTTCCAGGCAATAGCCAATGATGCAGTACTGCTCTTTTGAAAAAAGGCCATTTTTTTTACCACAGTCATATGAAACTTTTCCTTACTTCTGAATTCACTTTGGTACAAATTCAACAGGAAGAGCAAAACCATATTAAAACAATCTAGCTTTATATTTAGGTTTTGACTTCACAGCCGAGTTTAAATACTGAGTCCTTTTTAGTAGGTGTTTATATCTGTAACTAGAATTTGTAACTTGTCATTTTATTAATATACAATTAAATCACATGTGTTGTTGTGAACAACAACTACCTATTAGCTGATAGAAAAATTACCCTGGTACAAGAACCCCATCTGGTACCTATTCCCACTTACATTAATTGGATGTTTGTAAAGTAGTTCAATAACTGACTTGAACCTGATCCTAGTCCCCGTGAAGGATCATCCTGGTCCCAAGAGGGATGTAAATTTCATTTTATGTCCTTATCCTTTGAACTCAGAGGCAGTCACATGTACAAGAATATCCTCACTTGAAATTCAGGACAGTATAGAATCTGTCAGTGTGTATGAGCTGACAGGATCTGACCTATCCTGAAATCACACCAATGAAATAAAATTGGTATTGAAATAGGACTGAAATCCTGAATCAATTGCACTGTGTTGCTGGTTGCTTTTCCTGATGAACTTTGAAGTTCAGATTTATTCCACTGAAATAAATTTCACTCTAACACCATTTATTTTTGTATACTAAATCTCAATGAGATTACTCCTTTGCAGAGAACATTTTGAAAGCTAGAGGTAAAAGTCATTGCATATGTTTTTTCATCTATCTGTGTCTCTCACTATCTCCATCTCTTTCCATATGCATAATACCTTATATAATACAATATATAATATGTGTATATCTTTGTGTGGGTATACCTCATATTTATTCTTACTTATTCAAACAACTTGTCTCATTAAAAGTTAACATTTGGTCATCCATTCTTTCTTTAATTTTAATGTAGGAAGTCTCCAGCATCCACCTGCAATAAAGAAGATCCAATGAAAGATGTACTAGAACTAGGTAAGTTATATCAAACTCCAGTTTTACTTTTGCCGTCATATTCTTCATAGCAGCTGCAAGCAAATATGTATGAGTCACTTCTTTTGTAACTCTTCATTGATTCAAACGAATTGTATTAGCTTTTAACTTCTTGAGTAAGACTGTGGGAATAAGTTATTCAGAAGTAATCGAACAGAGGGTGGCTCATTAGCTTTCTTTTCTGTCTAAAACTATACTTTTTCTTGATTGAGGACAAGAAAGTGTTAATTGTCGTCTTGGTAAACCTCTGGCACTGAGCCTGCTTGGGAGATGCAGAGGCAAAAAATTTTTTTGTCCAACACATTATATGGAATTTATTTTCTTTCAGTTGATGTTGAGGATGAAGCAACAACTGCAGAAGTTAGTAAGATCCCGGACCTTTCAACATTGTATATGCTTCAAGTAGCATCAAAGGCAATTGATATTTCACTTGCAAAAGTAAGACTAACGATAACAGTAAACAGAAAAATTTATGAAAATGTTGTTTTTATTAAGCTAGCCAAAGCTGCAATGAGTTGTTCTCTATGTGTGGGGTTGTATTTGTGTATGATTTAACATATACTGTATTCATTCATGGATATATTCCTTATTTGGTATTCCGATGAAAAAGTGATATAGGGATACCTGTCCAAATTTCTGAGAAATGCCAGAAAAGCATGCCAGAATGCATCAGCCCACTTGAAGTACAGATAATAGCTGTAACTAATGAAATGTTATATTATTTTATTATTACCTCTAGTCAGTTTTGCATCTTACTCTTTTTTGAGAATTTAAACATTGATTTCAAAACCAGAATTGGTTCAAGTTGGCAAGTAGGAAGGGGGGAATCTATTATTAGCTCTTCCTGTAAGACTTGCCGTCGTAACCATTGTCACTTCATATGCTTTAATGTTATAAAACTTTTTTATCTGTAATGTCAAGAACCTTGAATTCCCAGGGCCAAATGTTCTTAATATTTTGTAGGATATGTGTAGGACAAAAAAAAGCACAAAGAAATGGCAACTTATTTGCCTCACTCCACTCAGAGAGTTCAGTGTTTGCTGAAGTTAGTGGAAGTATTTTCACACGGTGATTTCTGTTCAGGCTGAATTGGGCTGTCAGTGTATTGTAGTGCTGTGAATCTGTCTGCGTGGGAAGAAAATTCACTTGTCGTTAATACTGCTGGGTGACTGCTGCTCATAGAAAACAGCTGAAGAGAAGAAAAGCCACATTGCACCTTCACCTTTCTTTCTAACTAAATCATATATGCTTCTTTAATTGTCTTTTGACAGTGGTTCAGAACAATGTTTTATTTCCCTATCATTGTTTCTCCCTTCCTTATCTTCCTTATTTTGAGCAGAGATGGAACCAGATAGAACCATTAAATACATTTAATGTTTTCCTTCCCATTCAGAGAGAGGGGAAAAAAGGCAAAAAAAGATCATGAGGATATCTTCCAATCTCATTTCTAGACCAAAGAAATCTGAGTAACTATCCAAATATTGAGGGATCTGTTCTTACTCAGTTTTACAGTATTATAAATGCAATTTATTCAGTTTAGCTATTCTTGAATAGCAATGACCTGCATATATGCAGGATCAACATCTGAATTCGACATGTGCTGACGTGTCATCAGATAAATAGCAAAACAGACTGCATTTTCTCCATACTATGCCCATCAGGGTCTTTTTCTCACTAATGTAACCACATAGTAGGTGTTGCTCCTCTGGCTGTTAAATTTAAGGCAGTATTCTGTAAGCCTTCCAGGGAAAAAGCTGCCCCAAACAATCTGCATAAACAGTTTTCTAATGCCGGGCAACACATAGCATTATGAGCTGAAGGAATATTGCAGGAAAAGGAAAAAATTACTCCTTTTCATCTGAGTGCTGCTATTTACAGTACGTATAAAACAGAAATTAAAAGGGTGGTTGTAGCAAGTTAGTCATTACCCTGCCACAGTCCTCCTTTCTTTTCTACAGACTACTACAAGAAAACATACCTGACTTTTGAATTTGTTTTTAAAATGAGAACTTTTTTCTGTCTTTTTTGTTTAGGAAATAAAAAATCTTTTGTTTGGCTCTAGTCTTTGTTGCTTCAGTGAAGAATGGAAAATACAGAGTTTTACATTTAATAACATACCTCAGTTAAAATATGGCATCGTGCAAAAAAAGGTACTGTAAATTACTTCTTTAACAAACAAAAGTGATCATTGCTTTTTACACTGAGTTTAAAGAGGCTGTGTGTTTTAGCAGTGAAAAAAAGTCTTCAAAAGAGTCTTCTCTTTCTTTAGTATCACTGGTTACCACTCAATGATGTCACCTTGCCAAGTCTTATTAAAAGACTTGAGATGGATGGAATATTTCTGAGGAAAGCTTAAACCAGCACCAAAAAGACAAGTCAGTTAAGGAGATAGTAAAAGAATAAAAGGGCATAAACCAGGGTAAAGTCAGAGTGAAGATTAAAAAAAAAAAGAAAAAAAATAGAAAAAGAAAAAAGTTTAACATGTTTAAGAGGGAACTTGATCAGTCTCAAAATGGAGAGAGTTAACAAGAATTGCCTGCAATAATAGGGAAAAACACAAGGAGATTCTTGCCAGTCCTGTGTTCCTGAGCATTGGGGAATCATGTGATGAGTCTTACTCCTAAGAAAAAAGAAAAAAAACTGAAGAAAAAAATGAGAAAATGCTCCAGCAGTATCACTGGGACTGCTATCCAGGTGGGACCACCTCTTTGCAGCCTCATTTCCTTAATTCTGACCTGCAGCCACAAGATTCCAGATCATCCCTAAATCAAGGCTTCCTAGTTTCTAAGCCAGGAGCAGCTGGAACCTGAAATCCCCAGCAGTTTCCGGGCACCTGAATCTTACAGAGCAAGACTGCTGTATGCGAGATCACAGAATCATAGAATCCCAGAATGGTTGAGGTTGGAAGTGACCTCTGGAGATCATCTAGTCCAACCTCCCTGCTCAAGCAGGGTCCTCTAGAGCATATTGCCCAGGATCACGTCCAGATGGGTTCTGAATATCTCCAGGGAAGGAGACGCCACTAACTCTCTGGGCAACCTGTTCCAATGCTCTGTCACCCTCACAGTGAAGAAGTTTTTTCTCAGGTTCAGATGGAACTTCCTGTGGTTCAGTTTCTGCCCATTGCCTCTTGTCCTGTTGCTGGGCACCACGGAGAAGAGATTGGCCCCATCCTCTTGACACTCCCCCTTCAGATACTTGTACACATTGATGAGATTGCCTCTCAATCTTCTCTTCTCCAGGCTGAACAGGCCCAGCTCTTGCAGTCTTTCTTCAGAGGAGAGATGCTCCAGCCCTCTAATCATCTTGGTAGCCCTCCGCTGGACTCTCTCCAGGAGTGCCATGTCTCTCTTGTCCTGGGGAGCCCAGAAGTGGTCACAGTACTGCAGGTGAGGCCTCCCCAGGGCTGAGTAGAGGGGCAGGATCACCTCCCTCGACCTGCTGGCAACACTCTGCCTAATGCACCCTAGGATCCCATTGGCCTTCTTGGCCACAAGGGCACACTGCTGGCTCATGTTTAACTTGTTGTCCACCAGCACTCCCAGGTCCTTCTCGGCAGAGCTACTTCCCAACAGGTCAGTCCCCAGCCTGTACTGGTGCATGGGATTATTCCTCCCCAGGTGCAGGACCCTGCACTTGCCTTTGTCGAACTTCAGGAGGTTCCTCTCCGCCCAGCTCTCCAGCCTGTCCAGGTCCCTCTGACTGGCAGCACAGTCTTCTGGTGTGTCAGCCACTCCCCCCAGTTTAGTATCATCAGCAAACTTGCTGAGGGTGCACTCTGTCCCTTCCTCCAGGTCATGGATGAATATATTGAACAAGACTGGGCCAATTTGTTGTGGGCCAACACAAAGACTGAGTCGCCATCAGAAATTTTCCTTCTCTCTTCGCTTCATGCTCAAAAGGTGCTTAGTATAAAGCAAAAGTCAGGACCACAAGTTTTATTCCAGAGTCTGACCCTTTGGCAACTCTGCTTAGTTCTTCCTTCCTGCATTTCCTCCCCCACCTATCTTCTTTCTGAGCTCACCAGAGAAGGATTTCTGTTTCCATCATGCAACACATGACAACACAGGTGTAGTACTACTTTAACATATCCAAGGCTGCCTCCTCTACAATATTACACTTTAAAAATGAATTCCCTGTACTGCTCTCCCATGTTTACAGCAGTTAGTGTAAACCCTTATTTTTAAAGAAAGCAAATTCCAACTCTAGCTGAAGCTGATGATTTCCACCACAGATGAGTAGGTCAGATTTTCCGAACAACAAAAAATGGCCCTCCTTGGAAACTGTTTCCAAGTGATCGATCTCCCTGTAACCTGCAGTCAACACTTCATCGGATAGTTTGTGTAAGAAACACACACTGTATGGATGCTCTCTCAAGCTTGGAAACATCCTCTTGAAGCCCATAGAAGGAAATACCTGCATTTTTCTTTTACTGACATTCTCTGATAATACCAGGGAAATCTGCTTTAGCAAGTCCACTATATCAGCAATATTTCCTGGAATGGCTGGTGAAGACAAGATATCTCGAATAATGCATGAAAAATCATCTTGGCAGTTCACATTCCCATGGTCATCAACATCAGAATATTTTGTTCCACCGTCAGGCTTCATAGGGCTTCCTTTCCCTA